AATTGTGATCATATAAACCAGAGAAACTAAACTATGTGGGTATACTCTTTCTGGTACACACTAAACACAAGTTTATAGATGTGGAGCCAATCCTGGTCTTTGGACAGTGCTGAAAAAAATGAAGGAGAAGAGCCCTTAAGAAGCTGAGCCTTTTTCTTATCCAAAGGTATGGCTATCATAGTTTAATTTACTGTAAGGAATTGTAAAATGCCCAAGGGTTAGGCCAAGTATAAACTCTAGAAAGGAACTAGGAAAATGCTGCAGACTAAAAGAGCTGATGCAGTCACCATGTGACTCGGGCTGCAGGCTTGCAGCCTCCAAGCAGGCAGCAAGCCGGAGACTATTCCTCCTTACAGGTGACAGAGGCTGAGTTCATGCCTGAAGGACCAATGTCCTCTCTGACACTGACTTCCACCTCCCAACCCTGATCATCCACTAGAAAAATAACTGAAAGTTCTTCATACCACAACCTGAAATTTCATGCTACATTTTTCATTGTCAAGAGTTGATTTTAGCCTGGCTAACTATTCCCAGGCAAGTATCCAAATCTATACATTTATAGCATCGACATCCAGAACAACAGGCCCCAGAATCCAATAAAGCAGGAATTTAGATGATACCAACTTTCAGTAAACTCTAAGTACAAAAGAGATAGAAGAATTCATCGGGCCTTACTTAATGCAAGGTTAGAGACTGGAACGTTTAACAAATCTACACACAATTTCTTATAATTTTATACTTTTTCCCCCCAAAATGATAACTGTTTCAAAGAACACTTCTCCCTTAGTTAGGAAATAAAATTACATATTGTGATGTCTTAATTCTTGGCCATACACACACATCAAGATACAGTAAACATTTTAATTCATCAATAATTTTAATGCTCAATCCAAGAGGCACAAAGGGCCTTGAAACCCTGTCTATGTTAAACACCATAAAATATTTACATCATCATTTGAACTGGGAAAAACTTACTCAGTAGAAACTACTATCATCGTAAATACATATAATATTAAATCAACTTTAAGCACCCAGGTACATTAAAAATATACAACTAAGCATAAACTGCAATTTATGTTTTTCTAGTAATGGTGGACAACTTTGCTATTTGTTGGCATATAAACATTCAGCAGATAATTTCTAAGGACCCACAAAATCGCAACACGAAATTAAATAGGAGGTACCAAAGGCTTTGGAAAAATATTTTGGATGGTGGGATGCTTCTATTTGCAAAGTCTATGAACGGAGTTAGTTTCTGTAAATTTAGTAATACACACCTTTGGCCATTTAGGGATTTCACCTTGGAAACTGAATTGGAGAACTTTGATTTATAAAAATAAGGCTAAAGGTTTGAAAACAACATTGTTTTTGGCAAAGTAGCACAAATCCAAAAGTTCCCAATTGTTCCTTCCTTTTGCACAAATTTAAACTGTGTTGACATAATTCTCAAATTTTAGAGCAAGTCCATAATATCTATAAAAGGCGATTCTAACCTTGTGATCTCATGATGTTACATGAAAGTAATGTCTGTTTTGAAGAATTTATATTATTAATCTATAGAATAAAGAGATAATTGACCAAATGAAGCATCTGGTTTTAAAATTTAGTTTCCTTGGTTATTGACATGCAAATCACTACGATAACTCCCTAGTCTCCAATTTGCCCTCCCCTAGAATCTAGCACCAAGGCTAAGGAATGGCAGAAAGTGAAGTTTTCTAAGAATATATAATTGGGGAGGGAGAGACCGTTCTCTAAAATCAACTGCTGTATTCTAAAACTAAGAAATCACTTTGACTATTCATATCTCTCTCTTTCCATCAGAATTAAAAATAGCAAGTTTATTTAACAGTCTATCAGCAGGCTAAGTTAAAATTCTTCAGAAAATCTACAAAATAATGCGGAATAAACAAATAGATATGTCACTATTGTACTTTGTCATGTCTGGGCTATAATATACGACTTTATTCTGGTTTTACTAGAAATGTCATCAGAAATTCTATTATGGCCCTAATTGTCTCTTTAATTACATGGTAGAAGTAATAAAGCAATGAACTTAGAAAATTTAAAAAGAGGGTTTGGTGCGGTAAAATAAAAAAATTCTTTTTATTTGATATTACTTAAGTGAATTATTTATCTTGTAACACAGAGTTTTTTAGTAACTAGTATATTTTGTACCTGCTTTGCCCCGGTTCCTGGGGATGCACTATCAGTCATATTTGGCACATATATCTAGTATTTTTCTGTGGTTGTAGTCAGTGATTGGTATCACTTTGAAAAAAAAATTTTTTTTTTGACACAGAGTCTTACTCTGTCACCCTGGGTAGAGTGCTGTAGAGTCATAGCTCACAGCAACCTCAAACTCTTGGGCTCAAGTGATCCTCTTGCCTCAGCCTCCTCAGTAGCCCAGGACCACAGGCACCTGCCACAATGCCCCACTCATTTTTCTATTTTTAGTAGACACAGGATCTTGCTC